TGATACCAACAACCACAGACAGCTATGCTGAAGAAATATAACAGACAAAGAGCAAAGGGAAGAACATGAAGAAGATGGAACTATGGCATCAAGAATAGCCTTAAGGAAACGAAGATCAACATATAATGCACTGGAAAGAGCAGCCAGAAGATCCTTTTATCTCCTCCCACCGCTTTAATGAAGAAACTAGAGAAAATGAAGAAGAAGAAGAAAAAAAAAAGCAGACTAACTAACCTCTTAGCCACAGAGCCGTACAAGGGCAAGATAATTTACTGATTTAAGAATTGACATCATAACACAACGGGCATACCCATAGGTGCTCCGTCTCGCACAGCAAATGTCTTAAGGTGTACATGCTTACTTTTCCCATAGCACACTGATTATAAACTTGTCGTACCCTTCTTCTCATGCATCCTTCCTTGCCTGATCCACACCTAATTACAAGCTCTTACATTCTTACATGTTATTTCATCTAACCCAGTGGCTCTCAACCTTCCTAATGCGGCGACCCTTTAAACTGGTTCTCCTCATGTTGTGGCGACCCTTTAAACTGGTTCTCCTCATGTTGTGGCGACCCATTAAACTGGTTCTCCTCATGTTGTTGCGACCCTTTAAACTGGTTCTCCTCATGTTGTGGCGACCCTTTAAACTGGTTCTCCTCATGTTGTGGCGACCCTTTAAACTGGTTCTCCTCATGTCGTGGCGACCCTTTAAACTGGTTCTCCTCATGTCGCGGCGACCCTTTAAACTGGTTCTCCTCATGTCGCGGCGACCCTTTAAACTGGTTCTCCTCATGTTGTGGCGACCCTTTAAACTGGTTCTCCTCATGTTGTGGCGACCCTTTAAACTGGTTCTCCTCATGTTGTGCGACCCTTTAAACTGGTTCTCCACATGTTGTGGCGACCGCCAATAATTTTCTTTGCTACTTCACAACTTCAGTGAATATTTGTTTTCCGATGGTCTCTGGCGACCTCTGTGAAAGGCTAGTTTGACCCACAAAAGGGTCACGACCCAAAGGCTGAGAACTGCTGATCTAACCTATCAGCTTTCGTTCATAAATGGTCTTCAGAATGCCTCTGTTGTTCCGGTGCGAGTGTTCCTGTAGCTAACACTTTTATAGCCAAAAAATTACCATTAAGGAGCCTGATAAGCACAATGTTCATGGCCTGATAAGCACAATATTCATGGCCTGATAAGCACAATATTCATGGCCTGATAAGCACAATGTTCATGGCCTGATAAGCACAATGTTCATGGCCTGATAAGCACAATGTTCATGCATTTATGCAAGCCGATATTATTTTACTTACTGTTAGTCATCATTATTTCTCTCTTCCTCTTCTTACAGTCCACACCAGCTGATGTTAGTAATTATGAATGTTCACAGCCTTTTGTCTATTCCAATTTGGGTCATAAACAGGACAGTGTTTGAGGTCTTCAAAGGTGTCCTAAAGTTTATCATGCAAAGATTGTATGGCATCGGCCTGCAATCTTAAACAGCTTGTTTCAGTTCATGTGCTGACACCCCTCAATGCCATGACAAAAGGTGATCAAGAATCATCTTGCATGGTCTCCCCTTGCCTCTTTTGCCAAAGATCTTTCCAGCGACAACATGTTCCAGTTTCCTTCTTCTCTAGAAGTTAAGGTAAAGTAAAGGATCCTTTTCCACACCTTCAGCGTAGTGGGCATATAGGGCTAGACCAATATTTTATAAACCACTCAGCACTTATTGGGTAATGTGGTCAGCCTCACATCAGCCGCCTTCACCTCTCGGAACTCCCCCTGGTACCCACTCAAGCCTGGGTCGACCTGGGAGCCAATGTTATTTTTTTAAAGTCAGGTACCGCTAGGACGTGAACCCATGATCTTCCGATCCGCAGGCGAGCGTCTAGTCGCTAAACCACGGCAGCAACCTCCTTCTTCTCATAACATGCGTGAAAATGATGACTGTCTCTTTCTGATGTTTGTGACAAGTTTTCTTGGAGCCCTCACCTCTCTAAAAAAAAATCATATGAGTTGCTCTTTTTGGCTGTCTAAGGAATTCTAAGGATTCTTCTACAAAACCACCTCCCTGATGCCTCAAGAAATTGTTCTGTCTGTTTATTGATCATCAATGACCTTATACAGCATGCAAAGATTCTTTTTCTAACCTCAAGCGACATGGATTTATTGCATAAAATATCAGCCTTTATATTATTAAAAACACTTTTGTAGAGTTGTTTGCAGACCAAACTACCCACCTTTGGTTCTTTCTTTATATCAGGACTGTGAGCAGAAGATCCAGACTTGTCAGCAATCAAAGTGGGGACAATAGATATGTCACTAACTGCTGAAGAACTGTTCATATCTGGGTCTGTTTTCAGCGACTGGTCTTGTACTGTGGCCATTGCCTGGTCTAGTTGTACAGAACATAAGAAAAGATAATAACAATATGCTGATTTATATAGTATATGTGAATGTTTTTGTCTAGAGAAAGAAAGAACTGATATGCTACAGACAGGTGGGGGGGGGGGGGGGGGAAGGGGGGGAAAAAGGGGGGGGGGGCAAGAAGAAAGAAAGAAAAGAGAGAAAGAAAGAGATAAACATGGGAACATTTCTTTTTGTAAAGCCATGTTGTTCACCAGTTGGACTAGTACAAAACATAATAACAGCAAAAGTTCAGGTGAATATTATTTATTTGGAGAGTTAGTCAATTTTAATTAGTTGGTTGACAGATCACCTTTACTGTGTCAAACCGTTCAGTACATAGGTGATCAGATCCCTTCGTTATTGAATCATGCAGCGTATAGCAGCTGGTGGCACCAGTTCTGTGCAGGTTTATTATTCCTTTTTGGCTTCCTCCTTAGTGCTCTTGTCAGCCCCACCACCGATTAACTTGCTGTTTTTGCAGTCTGATCATGATTGCAGATTCAGTCCTTACTTGGTTTCTGCAATCTTGGTTTTGTAGATCACTCAGTGAATCAGCCTAGTCTACGGTTTGTCTGATCTCCACAGTAGCTTTACCTGCAAGCCCATGGTTTGTCTGATCTCCACAGTAGCTTTACCTGCAAGCCATGGTTTGTCTGATCTCCACAGTAGCTTTACCTGCAAGCCCTTGGTTTGTCTGATCTCCACAGTAGCTTTACCTGCAAGCCCTTGGTTTGTCCTATCTCCACAGTAGCTTTACCTGCAAGCCCTTGGTTTGTCCTATCTCCACAGTAGCTTTACCTGCAAGCCCTTGGTTTGTCCTATCTCCACAGTAGCTTTACCTGCAAGCTCATGGTTTGTCTGATCTCCATAGTAGCTTTACCTGCAAGCCCATGGTTTGTCTGATCACAGTAGCTTTACCTGCAAGCCCATGGTTTGTCTGATCACAGTAGCTTTACCTGCAAGCCATGGTTTGTCTGATCTCCACAGTAGCTTTACCTGCAAGCCCATGGTTTGTCCTATCTCCACAGTAGCTTTACCTGCAAACCCATGGTTTGTCCTATCTCCACAGTAGCTTTACCTGCAAGCCCATGGTTTGTCCTATCTCCACAGTAGCTTTACCTGCAAGCCCTTGGTTGTCCTATCTCCACAGTAGCTTTACCGGCAAGCTCATGGTTTGTCTGATCTCCACAGTAGCTTTACCTGCAAGCCCATGGTTTGTCTGATCACAGTAGCTTTACCTGCAAGCCATGGTTTGTCCAATCTCCACAGTAGCTTTACCTGCAAGCCCATGGTTTGCCTCATCTCCACAGTAGCTCTGTGGCTCTGTGTTGAAAAGCAGACAAAATGCACAGGGTTCATAGCAAAAGCGAATAGGAGTCGCTTAGTGCAACAAAGCCTGGCAGATATCACAACGTCTAGTTTGAGAACAGAGGTGGAGGGCCTTCAACTGGCTTGAGAATCAGCTGTCATTATTGTAACTGACTCACAGAGTATGCCCAGAAAGGTGGAGACAGGCATGCACCGTGCAGAGTGGCAAGCATCGCTTCATAGGTCCCAGGTTCTTAGTGTCCTTTGAATATTTTCTTCAGGTGATGATAGTGTGTTGGGAAATGAGCAGGCAGATAGTCAGGCCAGTTCCGCACCATTTGGTGGTGAATTCATGTATGACAAGCTAGATGTTGTGAGGGCCCTTTGGGGGTAAGTGAACAGTGCGGAGGCACAAACAGATCAATCAGGTCTGAGGAGAATAGAGCTGTGGGGAGTTACCAGGGGATCAGGCCGATGCTCATCACAAGGGACATGCGAGACTGATATACAATAAGACAGTTACTAGTACCATCGGAATTGGAACTCTTCACTTGCTAATGAAGATAGGGAACGGAGCGCTTATGTGTGTGTCCTGAGTGCTGTGATGTTGATTCTTAATTCAACCTTCAATGTCTTTGGAACGTAGCATATTCATTATGTCTGCCCTGTACATACTTCTGCCTCCTCTGACAACTGCAGGCCCGGCCAGTCTGTCAGTTATTTCATTTCCTTTCACCCCGGCATATCCTGGTGTGTACATCCAAGGCAGTGCCTTGAGATGGGACTTTTGGATGCTGACAGTTCAACCCACTCTAGTCAGAGTTTGCAAGCCTGGATCTCCTTAAGAATGCTCAATGAGTCTATCACTATCAATGCATGAACTGCTTTCTATTCTGCCAGGTATGCAAGTTCCCCTGTGACAGCTGCTATCTCCTTCCTCATGCTAGACGTAGTTGAACTGAATGGCTCACTTTCTGTTGCTTGGTACTGACTGAGATAAATTCACTGAGTGGAAAGTAAAATGTTTCACTTACAAAAATTGACTTCTGGCCCAATATGAAGAATAACATAACCATTGATTCATTAGGGTCGTTAAGGTGTACTGATGGAAGCACTAGTACATTATACCCGCCATCTTTCTCTGCCTTCCGCTTGATAAATAAGTGTATTTTGCTTTTGATAGAGCTTTGCTAATGCAGTTTCCACATATGGATTTAGGTCTAGTCTTGCTGCCTAAGCAACTGAGTACCTTATGTAATAATTTGAAGTGGGTATGGCCAACATCATGACTGTCTACTTCTATCAACGACACACCATAACTGACTACTTCTATCAACGACGCACCATAACTGACTACTTCTATCAACGACACACCATAACTGACTATTTCTATCAACGACACACCATAACTGACTACTTCTATCAACGACACACCATAACTGACTACTTCTATCAACGACACACCATAACTGACTACTTCTATCAACGACACACCATGACTGACTACTTCTATCAACGACACACCATAACTGACTACTTCTATCAACGACGCACCATAACTGACTACTTCTATCAACGACACACCATAACTGACTACTTCTATCAACGACACACCATAACTGACTACTTCTATCAAAGACAACTGCATTTCTGGTGGTGACTACTGGCTTTGGCACCTCTAGCAACTGCCTTATTCATTTACTGTTTAGGCAAATTTCTACTGTACTGGGACTAATTGTTTATAAACCATTTTTATACAAACAGGACAGTGGGACAAACTGCAATTGATTTCCACTAACATAGGAATGAAGCATGTGTTGGGTGACCTGATTCCAGTGTAGCTGAAACCTCCAAAACTACTTCTACAAATTATAATAGTACCTTTCAGCAACTTTCCCTTTTGTCTCTTCCAATGAAATATCATCCCATGTTCCTTCTGGCTGGGACAGCTTGTACCTCGGAACAACAAAATCTCTGCATACACTTTCTGGACAGTTGTCTGGCAGCATCCTGTCACCATGCAGACGAACTTGTAACAGTTGGTTTTTCCACATTCTGCAAACAGAGGGGGAATGTAAGTGATACATACAGATTAGGCAGGCTTCTTATTTTTCTTCTTCAGTGATCAATATTTGCTGCTCGGCATCTATTCCAGCATGAGTTAGATACAGAAGACATGAAACATAACACACAATTTAAAAAAAAAAAACACTGGAGGAAAATGTTGAGCAACATTACAAGTGGGAGGACAACATCAAGAGATGGACGACAGCAGTTTGAGAAAGTGTACAGCCAAGACAAGAGACAAAGCATGTTGGAGATCCCATGCAGAAAATCTTCAGTGTGGAGATGGCACCTGATTGACTGAGAATCAGTAGGGTGCACTTTAGGTCGTCACCGGTGCCCCAAAGTTTTCTTCAAGGGTGGTTCTTATGAAAATAATTTTGGTTCTCTGACTGGAAAATTCTGGACATTATTATAAACAGCAATCAGGGGGATTAGCATTAGTGCTCCATATTATCTTCTTCTTCTTTTTCTTAGTGTTCACTGGCTGTAAACTCCAGGGACAGTTCAGACTGTTCGTCCACTTCTGCACTTTGGTCTTGTTCATAAAACTGAGTTTTAAGTGTACATTTATTGTAGAAATCTGGCTTATTTGTATGCACTGTTGGTTCTTCACCTCTCATGCAGATGCACTCAGACTTTAAAGGAAACACCCCTAATTAGCCGTCTTTCAAAATATGTCTGACAGGGGGGCAGTGGGTCTGTTTCTCCCCCCCCCCCCCCCCCCCCCCCAACGAACTGGAGTCTTGGAACCCACATGGAAACTCCATACTTTCTGGATCTCATCTGATCACAAAGCATGAGTAGTTAAACACAGACCTCATTCAAGACTGTGCTGATCATATGAGATGGTGGCATGGCACATTATGATAAAAGATTGGGGGTCTTCGTGACGAAGTGGTCATGATGTTTGCTTTACTCTCAGAAGGTCATGCGTTCGTTTCACGGCTGTGTCATTAGATTCATGAGTGCAGTTCCTAGGGATCATCACAGGGGCTATGGAGTTTAAGCTTTGTGTGACATTCCTGGCAGGAGGGTAGCTGTTCTGCGTGTATTTTTTTACAGACTAACCAGCACTCAATGTGTCATATGGTCAACACTGAGCCAGCCACCTTTTTTTTCCAGAACATGTTAGGTACTTACCTTTGGTTTCCCATTTGTAATACTCCGCCTGCGTATAAATTCAAACTGGACAAACAGGAAAGCATGCTACCCACTATGCTACTGCAGGCCCCCCCCCCCCCCCCAAAAAAAAAAAGAAGCATTACTTTTCACTTTCACTTAGTCAATCTTCTTCTATTCTGAGGTGTAGAGGTTTGCCAGAGAGATCACCAGACTTCTCTATAAGAATTACTTTTCACTTTCACTTAGTCAATCTTCTTCTACTCTGGGGTGTAGAGGTTTGACAGAGAGACCATTAAACTTCTCTATCAGCAGTTTTCTTTTCGGTTTTGTTCCATTCCAGTCAGAGACTGCTGAATGTTGTCTTCCCAGTGAACCCTAGGTAATCCTGGAGATCTGGTTTCCTAATTCTCAGCCTCCGATATCTGCAATGGTAGCTGATTCTCTTCCATTCTGCAAACATGTCAAAACCATCGTAACTGTGACTGATCCACACATGTTTCTGAGGCGTGAATTTTAAGATCATGATGTAATTGTCTCTTTGTGAACTTTGTCCCTTCTTGTCACTTGGACCAACGTTTTTCAGATACCTCATTTCTGAGGCCAGAAGCTGACTTCTGTGAGCTGTTTTCATAGCTCCCGATGCATACCGGTAGGTCAGGCCTGACATATGAGTAGAGCAGATACAGCCATTTTCATCTCTTACCAATTTCTGCTGAGAAACTCTCACAACAATCAACATGATCTCATAATCTCCAAAAGCCAAAGAAATCTTTAATCTGACCTGTATAAGTCAACATTTCTTCCAGAACCTTCCACATCTCCTTCTGGCCGCCCTGGGCACGCTGTCTCCAGTCAGCCAGTTTTGCTGGATTTTTTCCTGCCAGCTGAAACAAAGATTAACATTTTTTTTTTTTAATAACATCAACTGACAAAGCTAAGAACATAAAATAAGCAAATTCAAGATGTTAGTACATAAGAGGCGGATGAGGTAGACCAAAATAAAAGCAAACAAGTGGAGTCACCAAGTGCTGAGATGAGTAGAGGTGGGTGATATCTGCAGCAATAAATTTCAAGGGTTCTGAATGCTGAAGAACTACAGGAAGATGATGAAAAAAAAAAGCAGAAGGAGAATAAGAAGTGTAGATGTAAAAACAACATTAATGAGCATTTAAAATGTAACAGATGCAAGTTAAAAAGAAAAATTTTACTATTACAGTTCATGTAGTAGTTAGTTGTGTATCCTTTTTAGGACGTTGCCTAAACAACCCGAGCAATTTTTGTGCTGTTGCATTTTTTCTAGACAAATTTACATTCTGTACTTTGCCACTCCCTCCGAATGGTCAGCTCTCAGTACTATTGTCGAAACCAAATCGCTGTTGGGATGAAACTAGGCACCCTTGCATTACGAAGCATTGTTGGCAACGCCCAAGCCACAGGTGCCAACATTTATGCAGAATGTAACAGATTTTAAAAAAAAATTTTATATTAATGTTCATCTAGAATGTAACATGAAAGTTGTTACTATTAATGTACATCTAAAACAGAGCTTTCCAAACTGTTCATGTTGGTAACACACTTTTTTGGACGAACATAACTGCAAATTCAGTGTAATAGCAAACCAGAGGCCTGCAACACCATATATCTGCAAATTATTTTTATTATTTGCGTTCATGCAACACCTTTACACTGCAGCCACCACACTAATGTGTTTGGAAAGCTCTGGACTAGAATATAACAGAGGAAAGTAAAACCTGTTAATATTAAAATGAATCTAAAATTTAACACTAACGTGAACCCAGAATGAAAGTAAAGTAAGTAAAGATCCCTTTTCACGCCTTTAGGAGCATCGGGCATATGAGAAAAGCACCAGTTTTTTTTACAGACCAATCAGCAATAGGTGGGTAATGTGGTCAGCATTACACCGGCCATCTTTACATCCCCCAGGACATCCATTCTGGTACCCATTTTAGGTTGGGTCAAACTGTGACACCCCATACCACGATAAAAATCCATGCAGCCAGCAGTGGGTTTCGATCGCAGTATGTTGAAGAATGAAAGAAAAAAAAATAAACTAAATAAATGTTACTGTTTATGTAAATCTGGAGAGAAAAAATGATTTCAAAACAATAAATGTTACTATTGATGTAAATCTGGAGAAAAAATGATTTCAAAACAATAAATGTTACTATTGATGTAAATCTGGAGAAAAAATGATTTTAAAACAATAAATGTTACTATTGATGTAAATCTGGAGAAAAAAAATGATTTCAAAACAATAAATGTTATCATTGATGTAAATCTGTAGAGAAAAAATGATTTCAAAACAATAAATGTTACTATTGATGTAAATCTGGAGAGAAAAAATGATTTCAAAACAATAAATGTTACTATTGATGTAAATCTGGAGAGAAAAAATGATTTCAAAACAATAAATGTTACTATTGATGTAAATCTGGAGAGAAAAAAATGATTTCAAAACAATAAATGTTACTATTGATGTAAATCTGGAGAGAAAAAATGATTTCAAAACAATAAATGTTACTATTGATGTAAATCTGGAGAGAAAAAATGATTTCAAAACAATAAATGTTACTATTGATGTAAATCTGGAGAGAAAAAATGATTTCAAAACAATAAATGTTATTATTGATGTAAATCTGGAGAGAAAAAATGATTTTAAAACATTAAATGTTACTATTTATGTAAATCTGGAGAGAAAAAATGATTTCAAAACTGTAAATGTTATTATTGATGTAAATCTGCAGAGAAAAAATTATTTCAAAACAATAAATGTTACTATTGATGTAAATCTGCAGAGAAAAAATGATTTCAAAACAATAAATGTTACTATTGATGTACCTCTAGATTACATCGAAGAAAAGTAAAAACTGAAACTAAATTTTACTTTTAATATGTGTCTACAATGTAACTTATGAAAATGGGAGACCCGAAAATGTGACAATTCAGTCAAGAGGGTATGAGTGCACATTTGCAGCCAACATTCAAAAAAGCACCTCTTTTAAGAATGGGAGATACAGTGTGAGAACTCCCGTCATAAATTACAATTCTCAAGTCAAGCAAAAGGTCAATGAAAATTACAATAAATAATACACTTATTGGAAAAAAAATAGCAGAAAGCATGGTAACAAAAAGAAGGGGCAGGGCCGACCAACACTAAGATGGGCACAGGATAAAAGTGACTCCTTCAGTATGAAAGCACAAGTGGCGGGAGAGCTGGCGAGAGACCGAGTTTTTTTTCAGGCAGACCGTGATGAGAGTGACATTCTGCAAAGGACCTGCTACATGACAATGATGAACACACTAATACGTACCTTGACACAGTTCTTTTCACAGCATCTCATCTTAGAGAGATCATCCAGAGCCTGCAGACGGCCAAGAGCTGCCCTGCCTTTGGTCCTCTGTAGCCGAGGCTGTAGACATAGTTTTTATGTGAATAAGCACTTCTAACATGATCATCAAATCAGAATTCATAAGTCTCTTTGGCTGGGGAGCACAGTTATAAAAACAGAAGTCACACATGTCATGATAGTTGCAACTAGTGCTGCTGTTGTTGTGTATGAGCGTTAATAAATTTGGTTTGATTCACAGTCACACTCTGCTGTATTTGGAAGAAAACACTATCCTATACATCAACACATTATCGTTGTGTAGCTCCTCCTTTGAAGAATACCCCCGTCCTCCCCCCTTTCAGCTTGCAGAGGAGATGAACGGCTAAGAACACTGGGCTCACATGGGGATG